ACCAATGCCGAACCTTGCATGCCTTGCCGTACGTGGCAGTCGTGTAGACGCGGGGTGGGGTACCAATCTTGGGCAAAAAGAACTGGGGCGAGGATGCATGGGCTCCATGCGGGCGGGGATGCGAGCCGGATAGAACCATGGCTGCTGATCGCAGGGGGTCGCTGCCCCGGTTGGTGTTTAGCAAACGGGGCTGTCAATCGCTTTCTTTGGTCGACCAGGACCACAGAATTGTCGACTGCCGAGCCAGTGTCTGCATGGGTGAAGATGTGGTGATATGGTGCTGTGGTTTGAGGTCGATTCATGATTGGAAATATCTACAATGAATTCAAGCCACTGCGTCAACTGGACGCAGTCGTATGAGGCGTATGTGCCTTTGACGAATGCTGTGTGACCGAGAAGGGTCCCGTAAGCGTTTAGCCCCCGAGCTGCCATGGGGATTCTGAGCTGTGCTTGCAGTGCCCAGCAAACTCGCCCACAAGAGTCAAACACGCTCGCAAGCAATCCCTATTCTCTTCGCAAGACGCATCTAGACCTCGACTGTCCAAAAAATCGACCGCCTTTCTCATCTCCCTCCCACGCCCAGAACCAGCACCCCCAACCAATCATACCCCGCAACGCGCTCCCCGCGCGCCACCCCCAACAAACCCCACGGCAGACACGGGGCACGGGAACCAATGCAAGGCACCAAACCAGCAAAAAGGATCAAGATGCCGCGTCGATTTGGCGGCATCCGACGTCATCGTCTACAGACATCTTACATCCACAAGAAATCCATCATCATACGCCATAGCCAATCATAACCGCCATCATGCCGTCTTGTGTGTTATGTACAGGAAAAGTATGCAAGAAATTTCCAAAAGGAGAGATTGAAGGGAGGCAAACGACGCGTGTGGCTGTTGTAGTTGACTGCTGCGACGTTTAAGCGCGGTATTGGTTCCACATGGAGTGCATGCGGGTCCTGAATCACATATTAGCAGAGGCTCAAAATGAACTCAAGGATAGGGGGGGACATACCTCTGGCCGGCGGTGAACTGCTCGTAGCAGGTATCGTAGGAGTAGTCCATGAAGTTGGTGATGGGGTCGAGACCGGCCTGGTTGGGGCACGAGTCACGGCCGACGGGGCAACCGCTGGTGGAGCTGGCCTGGGCGGGGGTGTCGGAGATCTGATCGCCGGATCCGGTGCAGCTGTTGCCCTGGAAGGTATGGTAGAGACCGAACCAGTGGCCAACCTCGTGGGTGACGGTGTAGCCGAGGTTGTAGTTGGTGGCCGAGCCGCCGGGGACGGTGGTGTAGAGGATGGTGCAGCCGTCGCGGAAAAAGTCGCTGGAGCCCGAGGCAACGTTGGTCGGGAAGTAGCAGTAGCCAAAGTTGCCACCGACAGAGCGGAGGAAGTAGAGGTTGAGCGCCTTGTAGTCGCCCTTGCGGAGCGCCTGCTTCATGGCCAGCTCGTTGCCGTCGCTAGCCCAGTTGCTGTTGACGGTGTAGCTGGTGTTCTTGAGGGTGAAGCTGAACCCGTGCGGGGCGAAAGTGTTTTGGAGGACGCTGAACTGGCTGTTCACCATCTGAGTCTGTTGTGTGTCAGCTCGTGCTCAAAGGGAAGGGGACAGAATACATACGGTGATGTAGCCACCGCTCAGCGCGGTGGAGGAGGCGACGACGTGGAAGTAGACGTCGATGTTGATGTTCTGGCGACCCTCGAGGGTGAAGTTGCCGGACGCCTCGAGAGCAGCGATCTCCTGGGTGGCCGCGATCTCATCAGGGGTGGGGTCGCGGGTGCCGCAGCCGAAGCCGGCGCCGGGGCGGACCTCCGGAGTGACGGGGCTGGCCAGGACGGCGGGGATCGCCATGACGGCGGTAGCGAGAGCAGCGAAACGCATCGTGGCTGATGGACCGAGGATTGCGAGGTAGGGTACCGAGTGTAGGGCAGACCAATAAAGGCTGTGAAGTAGATTGTTGAACACCGGGAGGAGGGCTCGCAATTAATGACCAGGATGGCTGCTCATCTATTTAGGTGTCGTCGAGGCGGGAGCCGACTCACCTTATTATACCAACCAGCACGACATAAGGACGCCGTCTGAAATCAAGGGACGCACTCATGTCCGGCATCCATGCGACCGATAGCTCCCGTGGCTCCCGTGGGCTCCCCACGTCTCCTCGGGCGACCTTGGTGACTTCTGGAAGGTCTGGGCTCCGATGCAACTCGAGGTGGAGGACCAGGCAGCGGTGGACTGCCAGGGCAGCAACCTTCCCGATCCGCGACCAGGATGGCGCCCCGCGGTTGGGCGCGTGCCATTGTGTGCCACAGGAGATGTTGAGCTGGCGGCAGGATCGCAGGTTGCGAAGTCACATTGGCTCATCTCACGGGCCGGCCACTCAGCGTGCCCCATTCCGGGGCTCAGCAATGCCCGCGACGTTGCTCTTCGCGCTAGTGACTTGTGGTGCGGCACCTGGGCGGTCAGGGGCCGGCTTGCGCTCTTTGCCATTCGCAGTGGGTGCGGCAACGAACTCCCGAGGACACAGGGCCAGGTGGGGAACCGTGGGAGTCGAGCGCATGCCCGCGATGCTGAGGGCTGCGCAGTGGGCGATAATAGGCACCGGGGTCGCTTGCATTGTTCGCTTTCCCGGTAGTTGGGGCATTTCTCGATGCCAAGAATTGGCGCCGCGGAGAGCGATGAAACACTGCGAGCATTGACGAGGTCGCAAGCGACGGCAGTCTAAAGTGACCTCCCCGATCGGGAAACCGTTGTTGAATTGCGCTCAGATAAGGACCACAGGACCTCCCCGAGCAGCCCACCCGCCAAGTCACGCCCCAACCGAGGTTTAGGAAAGTGTGCCGCTGCCCTCCCCATCCTGCTGCGACGCTGCGCCGACCCTGTGGGGGGTGGGGTCCATCTTGATTCTTCCCATCGGGTGCCTGCCCGCGTTCGATAAGCTCCATGCAGCGGCAGGCGCTATCGATGTGCTGTGTCTCAGGCAGATTGGCACACGGATGCAGGAACAAGAGCCCCTCGATCAATCACATGCGAGTTTTTGTGCAGCATGCCCCTCGAGCAGCTACGACGTCAGCTGTATATCCCTATTTCCACGGCAGAGAGACTGACGAAAACCGGGTTGTGAGGCAATGGAGTTGACAATAATACCACCACACGAAATCCACACAACACTGAACCACATTCCAGTTGCGGACTGATGGCGCGGGCGACTGCGCGGGAGTCTGCGCGGGCGATCGCCTCGCTGGGCACACGACCCCAACTATCGCTACACACCCTGAGCGAAGAGAAATCTACTGCACTCAGCGTGATAGCGAGCCCGCCACTGCTGACTGAAACACCATCTTTCGGCCGCGATAGTCACTCACCTACCCCAGGAGGAGGTGGCAGCGCATTATCTTGAGATACAACATCGCCACCCCAATGAGTCCATGGAGTACGTAACTCGAATCGCGGCAGCAGGGATCACGGCCACTGCCGCGGGTTATCCAAGGTGGCCTATGTCTATTCTTGCTACTGCTCGACCAGGTTTTCAACCAGGCGGTAGTCTCCGAGACATGCCGTCGCTCCCCGTGTTCTCGAATTCGGGAAGACAGGCACTAGTAGCCCCCACTACATCTCCGCACGCACAGCCTGCACTGAGTAGGAGTAGAAGCTCTAGTCTGCGGCGAGTCTCAAAGCAACTTGGACAGACGTCGGTGAAGAGCTGCAGGCACAAAGAACCTTCCTCCTTCGGACCATGCGATACAACCTCTCCCGCGGGGCTTCGCGCTGTCAGTCACACGATGAAGCTTTTTGCCAATGACCTACGGCCTGGTAACCTGACTTGACACCGGACGAATCTAACCACGAGCAACTCTTGCTTGGCTGGCCGTCGGAGGACACCGGCACCCGTCCTCCTCAACAGCAGCTTCATTGTCCCCTGTTGAAGGCCGCCAGGATGAGCTCGCGCATCGGGGGATCTGTCACAGGAATTTCCATCTCCCCAACCATTCCCTTCTCAACCTCTTCCCGACTAGCCCACACGAAAGCCTGATGCTCTGTCACATCCAAGACCACACCCTGACAAGACTCAACTTCCACCTCAAACGAGAACCGGCAGAAGCGAATCCCTCGAATCTCATCGCGAAAGACATACCCCATCTCAGGAACTTCCCCATCAGCTATCAACCTCTTGATGCCCGTAGCAACCAGCCCCGTCTCTTCCCAAAGCTCCCTCGCAGCAGAAAACAACACATTCTTGTCTTCCACTTCTGCAGAGCCACCCGGTATTTCCCATTTTCCTGGCATCCAGTAGTCGTGATTTGCTCGCTGGACGAGGAGGAGCTGCCCCTTTTCGTCGAACACAGCGACGTTTGTGCAGAGCTTGTCTAGCTCGAGTCGATGGGACTTGATCCATTCTTGCGCCGGGACGGACCATGGGGTGAGTGAGGGGTCGAATGTGAGGTGAGTGATCGGGAAGGGCCTGCGGGTGGTAGATTCGGGTCGCCATACGGTTTGCTGCTTGGGGGCCGTCATCGTAACGGTTGGCAGCAGTCTTGCGCGGTTGCACGCTGAGTGGTTATGAGTTTCCGGGCTATTACGCCCTAGAGTTCTTGCGTGTCTCGGCAGTAAAGTGGTTCCAAGTAAGAAGCTGGTGAAGTGTGGGGTGGGGAGCTGTGATGTGACAGCAAGAGCGGGGAAACCGGACTCGAGCATCAAACCCTGACGTTGTACGACGGTTGACATTCACCTGCACCAGGCCCCGACACCGACGACCTCTAATAAATTAGATTTATGGCCTATCCTAGACTATACTCAGCCAGTAACTCAATTCTGCATTTTTGTACAACATGTCCCTCACTGTCCGCCCTGCAGTGGTGGGGCTTCCTCATCCACATGATCCACACAGACAAGGCCCCCCCACAATAAACCCCCCCAACACCCTATAGCGTCGACTCCATTCAGACTCCACCAAAACAACATCCTGACCCAAACAGAAGAAATTTCCACCCGGAATATCGATCAACAGGCAAAGCAGCCAAGCGGTCCAAGGCGCCAGGTTCGGGACCACCTGAATTCATCATCCTGGTCTCAGAAACGGGGCGCGAGTTCGAATCTCGTCTTTGTCACGACACGTTCGCAAAGGGATTCATTCTTTCGTTTTGAATGCTCCTAATTCTTGCATGCTGTCCCAGTTGTCATTGTCTTGTTGTTGTTGTCTTTGTCACGAAAGTAGCCAACGCATCTTGGCACGCAACAATGCAGCCTCGAACAAGAGGGGCACGCCCAGACGGGTAGGTGGCAGGCGATGCAACGCCCTGTGTCGATGTCAGCATCCTATCCATCCGTTTTGCGTGTTTGGCCCGATGCCCTGGGGCAATTTCGGACATTGATCCCTTGTGGGGTGGTGAAGGGCTCGGCGCAGACTGTGCCGTCGAGTTGCGTGTTTGGAATGGTTGAGGGAATTGCTGAGGATTGTTCAGAGGATTGAGGGCATCGCCATGAGGAATACAATGCGAGGTCCTTCGTAAGAACAGAGTGGGTTGCTTCTGGAGTCAATGGAGACAGTATTGGTCAGAGGAACTTCCTCCCGTGGCTCAGGAAGGATTGAAGGATCTTTGGAGCTCCCAACAGGCTCAAGGCCAAGCCATAAATTTCCAAGTCTGCCTTGGCTGAGAGCCCTGTCTCACCGAACGTAGGAATGGTTGTAGGGAGGGTTGAGGATGTGCAGGGCATCGCAGCACCAGCACTTTTAAGAAGGCGCGATGGGTAAACACCCACCCAAGCGAAAGCGCTAAGGCCGGGACGGGTGACAAGTGCAGCGACAAAACAGAACGCCAAGACGAGAACACCAAGCACTGAACGGAACACATGAGCAAGCAGACGAAACAAAACGCTATGGCCAAGACAAGAAAGCAGAGAGAACCAGAGTGCTTCAATTTACAACTGTATATTATGCCCCCGATCAAACCACCAGAAAGCAGTCATCAAGTACGGCAGCAGCAGCAGGCATCAGGCCCCCAAACCAGACGCACAGCCGCTTAAAATAAACAACCTGCCCCAAGGAAAAGAGAACCCCCCACGCTTTTAACTCCAAACTCAGAAACTCCAATGTCTCTTTCCCCCTTCAGTCGCTATTGGTACTCAAGAGTGCTCTGAGAAGGCCCTTCTCAAGGCAAGTCATCGCTCAGTTGAAGCACTTGCCGTTTGGGCCCCATGGCTCCTCGGGAGGGCCCACGGAAGGACGGTCTGCGCTCTTGCCGTGGTTGCAGTTACCGTATGCAACAATGACGTTGAAACCAGCGGACTCTGAGAAGAACTGGCCCGAGGTTGACCGACTCGAGCAGCACTTGTCCGTGATCACGCGACCGAAGTCGGAGATGAGGTAGCACTTCATTGCGATGGCCCAGGAATTGTCGTTGCACACTGGAGGGAAGAAGTTTAGGATGGAGTTGAACGAAGAGCGGAGAGAATAAAACTTACCATAGACACCGGAGGTGTTGTGGCAGCCGTGACGGGTGCACGTGTGGGCCTCGGTGATGCACATCTCATCGCCGAATTTCTTCATGATCTTCTTCGCGTCGGTGGTGTCAGCAGTGTTGAAGAGGCCGCAGTGAAGACCTGGATGCAATGTCAACAATGCCGGGAGGCAGAGACGAAGAGGGAAACTCACTGTCCATGGGAACGTGAATGCTTGAATTGACAGGGGCACCCGTCGGGGCAATGGTGACAGTCGGGGGAGACATCGGGACACTACCAGTGGCGTTGACGTAAGGCTCGGGGGCCGTAGTGTAGCTGGATGGTCGGTAGGTGACGGTCGAAGTGAAAGCCGCGAGGGTAGACGCGGTGGCGAACGTCGAGAGAGGCACCGGGACGCTGCTGGTGACGTTGGCGACAGGCTCAGGAGCCTTGGTGTAGCTAGATGGCTGGTGGATGACGGTCGAGTTGAAAGCCGCGAGGGCAGAAGCCGCCGCAAGCACAGGGCGCTGGGTGAAATGCTCAAGGATGCAGGTGACATTGGTGCCGCAAGAGGTGGACGCGGTGGCGAAAGTCGAGAGAGGAGTCCAGGGAGCAGCCGAGGTGGTGGTGGGCACCGAGGTGGTATTGTACAGCAGAGATCCCGTGGTACTAGCGACGAAAGCCACCAAGCCCGAGATGAGGCTAATACCGCTGGATCGCATCGTGAGGCTTTGATGAAACTTGGTGTAACTTTAATGGGAAGCTTTGAAGCCGCAACAGCCAAGCCAAGAGTGTGTGGATGAAGACGAGATGTGAGGCGAAATGGGAGGTGTGAGATGGAAGGAGTAAAAGAGCTGGAGGTTCGTGAGCGACTGGAAGGAAATTTATACCTGGAAGATGGAGAGTTCTTCTACGCTCTGATCTCTGGTGGGGCTCCTGCCGAGTTGTGACTGTTGTTTATTTTCGGCTGGTGATTTGAATCACCGAATTTTTTGTTCCCAACTGTGGGCGCCTGACGCGAGGTTCGGATGGAAGTCACGATGGGGGCAGAGGCGGGGAGGCAAAGAGCTTCAATATCGTACCACCGTCAACTAGCCCTAATCTGAATCGGTGATCGCCAGGGCTGGCAGGCGGCCCCGCCTTGCGCTGAAGTCTGACGTCGACGACGCGCATTATGGGCCTGGAGACTCACTATGGTGTTTGAGAAATGACCACCATTTCTGGACTCCCACTTTCCGCAACGTTCAAAGGTATCCTCAATTCTCGATCTGTAGACCACCCAAAGACACGACAGCGGCAGTTTACCCAGCCTCTCTCTTCCTCGAGGGCGTCAGAGCTCCAAGATACCTACGGAAACGAACCAGTGCTTGATCCCAAACCCCTTGCTTGCTCGCCTCCTCCGAGCCAGAGTCAGAAACGGAGAAAATGTCAGAATCAGAACTTGAACTATTAGAGAAAGAGTCCGGGAAGACCTTTCGGAGACGAAGAAACTCTACGGTCCTCCTAATGAGAGGGGCAGACCAAGCCTTCATTTTTCGTAGCATGATCCGGGGATATTCCAGCCTGTCGGCCAGCCAGATGAGAAAGAGAGCAAACGCATAAGTCGTCATCGATACGACAACCGTGGAGGTCTTGAACCTGCCGATGGTCTCGGCCGTGTCTTCGGTCGTGAAAAGCTCGGTACCAAACACACTCTGCGCGCGAGGTCAGGCTTTTTTGGCCAGCGAAGATGTAAGGGATAGACACTCACAGCGATAAGACTGGGGGGTAGATATAAAACGGTCACGATGGTGAAAACAATCACGTAGCGGTTCATGGTTGTCGACCTTGACGCTTCGCGCAGGGAGGTTGCATTGAACAGCTGTTTGAGGGCACACATCAGAAACCTGGAATTCCCTGAGCTGCTCCATGAGCGGGAAGATCGGACTCACCCCGTCTCTCAGACTCTTGATCTCCTCAGTTTTCTCGGCGATTCGCTGTAACAACTGCTTCTCGGATTCCAGATAGTAGCTCCAGAGAATTTTCCAGTTGGCCATGAGCGTTTTGTCTTCGGTTGCAATGCTGCGTGGGTGGATGAATGGCCGCGCCATTGCAGTTCTCACCGTAAACATTTTGGGCATACGGTCAGGAGCTAGGTCGTGTACCGCTCTGCGGGTTGATTTGACGGCTTGAGAAAATATCCGCAACACTTGGAGGGTCTTAAAGTAGATTCTCGATCTCTCGAAGCTGCTGTCAAACATCAACCTCTCGCTTTCGTCGTGGTTCATGACGTCCTCGAGCTGTTGCAGCAGTCAGTGGTTCTCTTCCGATGCAGCACGAAGTGGGAAGCTCACCTCTATCCTTACTACCGAATCTAGCCAGTCTAGGCATTGCGACCACTCGTCTGTCCAATCGTGTAGTGCCGCGAAGAGGGTACACTGGAGGAAGTGGTGGCCGGCATTGAGACCCTCAACAACGAAACCTTGATCCTCCCAGTTGATGTATCTTTCCCCAGTGTCTGGCATGCTATGCCACCGGTCATCGAGCACAATGACCGAAAATGTCGGCAGACGAGAGTCGAGAAACGTCCGCAAGTATCCGATTATCATTTTGCGCTCTTCCGCGAAGTGGTCTTCCCGGCCGCGGCCAATCGCAAGCAAGGAGCCAGTTGACCTTGTGCAATGGGCCTCAGCAGGGACTCCGGGGCGGTTTTCATGTGGGTGCCGAACTCGTTTTGTGGGGGGGAAAGAGGGAACAAAAGATCGCAATGTGCACTTCAAGAGGCAGGTGTCGCCATCAAGAGTTTTGTTCCAGGCCACCAGGTTTCCGAAAGATAAAGATCGGGACCGGCCAAAGTAATCAAGAAGTAGAGTGTTCCGCACATGCTGGTGTGGAATCCCGGCGGACCCCAAACAGGACGAGATCAGGGCTATGAGCCGCAAGTCAACCGTGCGAGTCACGCCATAATGTGTGATACTACGAAATACCCTGCAACAAGGTGTCAACACGGTGTCAAAAAAACCGGGGCAAGACGAGTCCCCATAGCGACACCTTACCATATCGAAGCTTGCCTGACCATCTCGGATTGCGCCCACTTGGGTTGGGCTGGCTGGTCCACAACGGAGAACACAGGAGACAATTTACCGTCAGGATCAGAGATCAACGGGGTGCACAGGAAGTTGGCCCGCAATTCCCCCAATGGCCAAGGTTGTGGAGCCGGTGCAGTGGAAGCCGACGACGGAGGAGGTGATGTTGAGGCTGTGGTGGGTGGTGCCACTCTGGTACGTGGTGGCCCGGTACGTGGTGGCCCGATATGGGGGACAGCGCCCCCAGACTGGATTGTCCACTCAACCTTGAAGGTGAGTGGCCATGCCTTCTCGAGCGCAGACTGTATTTCTGCGGGGAGGCCCTCCCATTGAACGGGATTTGAGGAGGCGTCCGAATGGTAAGACCCCTGGAATCTTGGAACGCCGGCCCAAAGGACGCCTGTCGTAGGTGTTAAGAGTATGGGGACGGCCATCATGTAACCTCGGGAGAGCTTTAGTGCTTCAGGTGTAAGCAAGCTGATATGGAACTGGATGTTGGGTTCTGGGTGTAGCGTTTCGAAAAAGCTGTCCCGCAAAGCCACGGCACGCTCCGGTTCCATCTCGAACACGGCGCGAATCATTTCGTCTGTCAACTGAGAGGCCTT